GTATGGGGCAGAGGTTCCATAGGCCCCAGAGTGATAGTGCTATCTCCAAAGACATTTGGGGGAGCAGGAGGGACAAACTGCCAGAAACTCAACAGGGAGGATATGTCGAGAGCGGCAGGGATTGTTAGATTCACAGCATCTGCCACCAGCTCCCCAGGAAGGAGCTCTCCATTAGCCAGCTCAAAACCAAGGTTGAACCTGTGAGGTGGCTGAGGTTCTTGCATAGGCAAGTCCTCAAAGAAAGTGATGTTGTAAAACCCTTTAGCATCTGCTTTGAAAGGCAGGCTAGGAAGTATAGGGTATGAGGTAGCACTGGTGGTGAACTTAGGAATCTGAAAGACTTCAGGAGGAGAGCTTGGTGCTACCATGGGGTGCAGAGAGACAATGGGCTCTGGCAGTGGTGGTGGCATAGGCTGGATGGCCTGTTCTGGAGGCCCAAGGGTGAGGCTGTGAACCTCAGGTGGCAAGCTACCTACAAGCCCATCCTGGGCAGGAACTCCTATCGGGAAAGGAGACATGGGAGCAGCCTTCACTTGGAATGAAGGCTCCATAGTGGGGAAGTTGCTCAGAAGGTCTCCCCCGGCCTGCATACTCTCTCTCATGAGCTCCTGCGAGTGTGTCTTCTTGGTATGACGGGTGAGGTGATCCTTGCGCCCAAATCTCTGGGCGCAGAACTGGCACAGGAAGTCCTTGCATCCTGTGTGGACCACCAGGTGGCGTCGCACATCCTTCCGGGTGTAGAAGCATCTCTCACAATGGTCGCACTGGTGCTTCTTCTCCTTGGGTACAGGCGGGGGCTTTTCTTCTGCATGGGCTTTGAGGTGGTCAAGCAGCGCCTCGGTGCTCCCCAGCTCCAGAGCGCAGACCCCACAGGTGAGGTCCCCGCTGCTGGCTGAATGCAGGGCCATGTGCCTCTTGTAGCCCAGCATGGTGTGGTACTTCTTCCCACACTCTTCGCACACATAGGCCATCTTGTTGGGGTCGTGGGTCTGGAGGTGGTTCTTCAGGTGGTCTTTCCGGTTGAACGTCTTCTCACAATGCGTGCACTGGTGAGATTTCTGCGACGAGTGAGTGGCCATATGCCTAGGAGCAGAAGGGAACATTACACAAGAATTACTTTATAAGAAAGATCTAGAAACAATATTGTATCAAAATGGTAATAGATTTAATCTAGGTTTTGGCATTTTTATTTAATTTTTCCTGTATTTTCCAAATACATAAAATTTTATTGTAAAAAAAAATCACAAACTATTAAAGATATAATGCAACTATTAAAGATAAAAAATATTCCTGATAGATGCATTATATCTTTAATAGTCTATCAGGAATATTTTTTTAGGAACATATTTTCTTAATGTATTTGTTTAGAAATCTGTATGCAAGTATTTAAAAATATGTGATCATGAAAAATATTTTTTCAGGAGGGGGTTCAAGGGACACTTGACATTTTTTGTAAACTGAAATTTTCAAAAGTGACCCACTTTCCTAGTTTTAGATCATTGTTCCTAATACAATTCCTGCATGGTCTGTATCAACTGAGAGAAAAAAAAAGGAACCTTTGAAATGTCTATCGTTAGCCTCAGAGAAAGTGTTAAGCTGAAGCCAGTTTTTAAGATCTCTGCCATCCTTGAATTTTAAAAAGATTCTTTTTAATAACTAAAAATCTAAGGTCTATGTGTTTGTATTTCTTATAAAATACAATCTTTCATTACAACTTGTAGGTCGCAGGTAGCACACAGGTTACTTTGTGTCCTTTATGACAGTTATCTTCTTTAGTGCACTGGTGAGTGCAATAAAAGTGAGTGCACTTCTCTTTAGAGGCTTAATTTGTTTTACTAACAATTTAAATGCAAATTGAATACTTTGAACTAGTGACTCTGGATACAGAAGAACTTCTAACAATGCATTCTACCAAGAAAAGATCTCTTGAAGACAGAATAAGTTAAAAGTGTACTTAATTATATCTTCTACCCAACAACCAACCCTGTCTTGCCCAGTCCTAGAGTTGGAACAGGAAAGTGTTCTACAACAGCAGTGCTTTGGCAGACAGTGATAGTGGTCCCACTACGAGGCAAACTGGAAGCCAGTTCAAAAATGATAAGGCTGGTCTGAATCAAAGCAAAACCTTCCTCTCTCACTTAAAAAAAAAAAAATTAGCCTGCTATGTGCAGCAAGAAAAGCTGGTTCCCTCTCTTTCCTCCAGGACACACAGCTTAGCATGCCTAATATGGCAGATACTGTAAGATGGGAACAACACTCAGAGACAAGAACCAATACAGTAGGCATCTGAGAGATCTGAAATATGCCAGTGTCTCCATGTTCTAGATGTATAAATTCACAGGCTGAAGAAAGGCTTTTAGAGCATGTCAGGGAGCAAACAGCCATGCTCTTCTACAAGATATATCACAGGAATTGATAATGAAGGGGGAGCTGGCTTATGAACAGGACCCCAGAGGTCTGGCTAGGTCTTCCAGTGTTGCCCTTCTCCCATTTCTTTGTGGAAACATTTTAATTTGGTTTGATTTCACCTATCACTCATGAGCAGATCAATACCAAGTTGATAAGGCTGGACCTGGCATTTCCTGCCTACTCTTGTAGGAATGGAGCGCAGGTTGGCATTAGTACTTAAGCAATATTACCACCTTTCATCAGTTCCCATCCCTTAGAGATTGATGACCATCCTTTGCCTGGTGTCCAGTTCTTCCCTTTACTTCCTCATGCATCAGTCCCAATCTAGAACATTAACCAATGCCAATGACTTCCACAAGTTGGTACCCACATTCAACTTCTCTCCTTACCCCAAAACCTCTGAAATGACCAGTTTTAGGGTATCCTATAGTCAGCACCAAATGCTACCATCTTGGGTGTCAACTGGATCATGCCAATGCTCTTATAAGTCTTCATGGGTGATTGAGATTGCCCTGCCATCTTTTCTTGCTCTTTGCCAACCTCCACCAAACTGATTCCATTGTTTGCTATTGGGACCTATGTTCTCCTTTCTGGTTTAACAAGTCAGTTTGTTTGTTTGTGTTTTTTCCCTTCAATCTTATAAAATGAAACTTCTGTTGCAACTGTTGGGAAATAGGATGGAATGCTGCCCTATTATCTCTTTTTAAAGACAGACCTAAAGAAAGAATCATGCCATCTCACCACTTGGGTTTTTTTATGAGAGTGCTTGTAGGCCAGAGGCAGGAAATGTTGAGGCTGGGGGCAGTGGTTTTTGCATAAAGTATACAGCTTCTTTCTGCCAACTTTATGCCCTTAACTGAACATTTCCCTTGAACTACTGCCTCCCAAATATTGCTTAATATTTATTTGAGTGTGGTTGACCACAGTAATCCCAACTAATTTTACTCATTCCAATAATCTGTAAGTTCCACTTTGTTTCCCAGGCATTTATCTCAGTCTTTACCCAAAGTTAGGGTACCTTGTGGGCCAGGCTGCAGCCCAGGCTGCCTTCAGTGTTTGGAATGGAGATGTTTGCTGTGCACACTAACAAGCTCCATGCAAACCAGGGAGCCACTGCGACAGAATCAGTGCACCCGCCATTCTGCTATTTCTTAGCACTAGTGGGTGGCCTGTGCACATCCAGATTAAATTATACCTCTGAGGTATAAAATACCTAAGCTTTTACACACTTAGGTTATATCATCTGTAACAGCGGTATCAAGGGCCATCAGCAAAATTCATATCTACCTTCCCCGAGGGCACTCTGAGATTGAAATGATAATGTAGTCTGTGCCAATTCTCTAAACTCTGCACTTAGATGTAAGCAGTCATCTAAGTGCAAAGGTGAAGCTTTAAAGATCATTTCAAGAAGATTAGAGGTGAGTGGCACATCTCTCTTAACCATGCATCAAAAGAAGCGCCACATTCATAGAGTTCTGTGCACGTGGCTCTTGGGCACTGTAGACACCATGCCAACTACAGTCATTGTCCCTCAGACCAGTGTCTGACTGTACATTTTGTCTTGTCTATGATGGAATAAAACCTGTTTTCTATTAAAAAAAAAATCCCTTGGAGGCAGAAGATATATCTTTCATTTCCCTCATAGAAGCAAGCACCTAACAAACACTCAAAATCATCCAGATTAAATGTATTTTTAAAGAAGATGAATCTGCTACAACAGTGGTTTTTTACCCTTTGGTATATCACAGAGGCCTCTGCACATCTGATTCGATGTACATGCTTGGCATCTGTAGGACCAGTTGAACTTCACATGTTTGAGTGCTTTTTCCACCCAAGGGGACAAACCACTCCAAAAGTTCGCACTCGTGGGCCTTTCTTCTTCCTGTCGCTCTTGGTTACCTGGCAAGCCCTCCCATTTTGTATACAGACTCTTGTGACAGGTTTCCAGTCAGCCTCTTCTCCTCATTACTGTCAAAGTCATCTTTCTAATGCTCTAATCAATAAAAAGGAGCCCTTCCAGATAGTGGGTGAGACCTGGGGCACCTGTTTCCTTCTCACTGATGTGCTTGGTCTCACCCTCTCCTCCTCCAGGGTTACCTTCGGTGCATGGCACCTGAAGACCAAGGGTTAGAGCTTTTTTTTTTTTTCTCTTCATGCTGTAGATCTCAGAGGAGGACTGTCCCCCCTGAGCAGCCTCCACCTGCACAGCTGTCAAAGCACCACTGCATTTAATAGTTCTGCATGCCTACCCCACCCCCTTCTCACCTTTCTGCTCTTAGGCCTGCTACCCTGTGGGTACAAGAAATGTCTGCTGAAGCAATTAACCAACATGGCAAAGCAAAAGGGATGCAGAAAAGCACAGTAATCATTGGAGAGACAGCTTTGAAGACTCCCTAAAAGGCTAAAATATAGATTCAGATCCTGTATCTTGTTACTGTGAGTGGACTGAAGGCTCCAGAGCCACTTAAAGGCCCGGGTAAAAGCACATACCTTTCTAAAGCCTCTCACCTCATCAATTTATATCTGGAAACGAAGGCTTTGCCACAGTCGGTCTGCAAACACTTGAATGGGCGCTCCCTGGTGTGGGAATAACTGTGAACAGTGAACTTCTCCAGAGTGAGGAACGTTTTGCCACATATTTGGCAGGGGAATACAGCCATGGGCTTTGCTTCTCACACCTTCCTTTTCAGATAGGCCAATCAAACGGTGTACCACTGAGGCACACAGGGAAGGAAGGTGCAGGGCAGAGGCAGCAGCAGCAGCCACTAGTTCTGTCCTCTCCTTTCCCAAGTCCCACTTCACATGCAGCCTTGAGCCCAAGCGAGAAAGTCTGAGGCACAGAAGAGATCCAGGCACAGGAAGGGGGTCTGCATCATCTGACAGCCTGTGGAGATAAGAGGAATGGATTTCTCACATCAGCCACTTGAAAACCACACTTTCCCTCCCTAACACTTCAGAGCCGACTACCCACGGCCAGCACGTTCCTTCACATGGCTCTAGTGGGCACGATTCTCCACCTGCCCTGTGCTTTGAGAGGCCCTTCTGCATAGAGACCCACTCATCTGCTCCTCCCGAGTGGCAAGGTATCACTGGCCAGCTCTCAGAGGGCTGAGAAGCACTCTGTGACATAGACTCAGCATCATCTACTTGGAAAATTCTGGTCAGTGAGGCTCAGCAGACCAGCCAAAGAAAAAGAAAAAAAACCTCCCTGCCCTCATTGGAGTGCTCTACTGGTCCACACACAAAAATCACCCCTTATTCAAACCACTGGCTTTTTCTCTTCACCTGTTTTAGTATAACGCAAGTTGTTTATGACACCTGTCCAAACTTCCAGAGGATGAGAAGAAGTCATTTGTATACATCTAAGTTAATTTGCTTGTGAGATAACTATGCACAAGGACTGAGGAAACAAGCCATGGGTTAAAGCTGACGCGGCGAGGGGAGATGGAACAGCCCCGTGCAAACAGAACTGATAGCTCGCAAGGACGTCCAGGCCACATTTACAGGCACTGTCCTCTGGAAAACTGTCCTGTCTGCCTCTTACCCTTTTGTTTATGGGGACATTTCCTTATTCCTCAGGTAGCTGGGGGTAGCCTACCTTTAGTTCAACCTATCTAAAAGCCAGGTCATTAACACCCCTCTCACCCAGCCAGAATCACCAAACTCCAGACCCTTCTTTCTCTATCATTGGACCATCACTTATGAAAATGTGTCCAAGGCAGATCACCCAAAGTCCTGTCCAACCCCTCATTCCCTTCCAGTTTTCCATCTCCTTCCTGAGGCCTCACCTTGAGGCATCCTCAATGACCCTGGCTACAAATTCCTTGTAGGAATTCCATCTCACTCATGGAGCCTATGCTGCCAGGTCTTAGGATCCCATCCTTACTTCACAGCCAGCCTAGGCCTGGCCATAATACTTGACCAGCTTTAAAACACTCCCTTCACTTGGGATTGCTCTTTTCTTCTTCTCAAGTCTGTTTTTAAAAGACTAAAACATACACTGATTATGAAGTTTGAAATATAACTTTCCTTCCTTCCCTTTACAGCTAAACTCAAAACAGCTAAACTCATCACTTCAGAGGAACTGGTTTGGTAGGGAAGATTTTGTATTTGTCTCACCTGCTTACAATTCCAGTCATATACACTTTTTTTTTTCTGTTTATCTCAGTAAATTAATTCTCCCCAAGTTTTGCTTTAGGAGATGACCAGTGTAGCCAACAGAACTTTGGTGATGACGGGAATGTTATATTATCATGGCTACTGAACTTTCAAAATATGCTGCTGTGAAACAAGACTAGTGTCCCACACAGTAGCCACTAGCTGTGTCTGTCTGTTTAAATAATTTGGCCTTTGAAGATGGCAGGTATAATCAGAGAGCAACATGGCCATGCTTTGTCTAAGCTTGAGGCTCATTTCCTCCAGCCTCAAGTCCTCCAACTTTAACCTAAACTTTTCATACTTGTTTCATAAATGTCTTTCTCCTAAGACTTTATTTATCTTGTTAAGTTTTAGGGTTGTGTTTAATATACACAACACCACAGAGTCCAAGGCTGGTCCTCAAATGCTGACCTGAATGGAGTCCATGATATTGAACATTCTCTAACTTCTTCAGGGAGTCTTTAGGAATGAACTCAACTTCATAAATAGTTATAACATTCCAGTTACCATAATTGTGTATTTCATAAATATGGACCTGAGAATACAAATATTTGCACTGTTTTCATGATATATTCACAAACTTCTATAAAAATTGTCTTTCCCCACAGACTATAAATTCTTTGTGGCTCAGGATCAAAGCTCAGCTATCAAAAAAAAAAAAAAAAAAAAACCAACAAAAAAAACCCCAAAAACCATGTGGCTATATACTACATCTCTCATCGCCATGTTCTCAATTGGTGTTGGCTGTATACTAAAGATTCCAATCTTTGGATGAAACCTGATACTCTTTCTGGCCCCGTCCTTGAAACAGACTTAGGGTTACTTCGTATTGAATGGCAGACCACCAGCAACCTAACTGAGAAGTGACAGAGTGAAGGTCCTGATGAGAGTGGGTCTGTTCTGTCACTTGACGTACGTACTGCACTTGAATCTTAAATACGGTACTATTTCAACACCTGTCACCATGGAAAGATAGTAAGTCTTCCCCCAAAACATCTCAGGACACAATTTTCAGTCCCCTTGATTCTAAAAATACTCAGTGAGTGATACAGATCTGCCAGTATGCCAAAGAAGGCTTGTACCATCTGCTTCGTTCTGCTCATGCTGATTATTTTGGGGATGAGAGAGGATCAGACTGGAATAAGAACATATATATATATGGCAACAGCCAGGAAAGACTGTGTTCCCTGGGGGCTGGAGGTAAACGGTGGTGAAGGGGGGGTCAACACAAGTGCAGTTCCAGGACTTCCCCACTGCTGCACAACACAATCGTCTAACGGGGACAACTGTTTCACAGCATTCTCAAAATAAACCATGACTTCTGGCTTCTATTTCCATTGTCCCCAGTGACACAATGCAAGGCCCATTTCTGAGAGGAAACTGAATTTCCATTTTTGGCCTTCCAAGATGGGTGCTTTTAAATCCTTGTTTCCATTCCATTCATTACTATGTCTACTAGATAAGAAGGTTCTCCTCCAAATGCCTGTCTCCCTCACACTCCCAAGACATGGGACTGTTTTCAAATATATACATTAAGGCTGATTTTAAAAGGGTCTCTGGCAAGGTTTTTTTTTTTTTTTTTTCTTATATTCACAAACAATGAAGCAGCCAGTCATGGAATAAGAGAGGTAGAAATCCTTTGCTTAACTGGTCCTAGGAAACTTTCAATCAGGGTACCCTTCTCAAAATCACCACATGAGAAGCAAGTCTACCAAAAAATTAAAACCAAAACTATTCAGAATCATCAGCAAACAGAAGGAGACCCAGAATCTCTAGGTAGTTGTGACTGCTTATTTTTTATTCTATTCTGAAATTTGCTGGGTGCTTTTCCTGAGCCAGTACAATGTCATAAGAGCTTGGTTTGCATGTCTAATCAGCAAAACAGGTGCCCATGGCACTTACTGCTTTGAAGATCACACTGGGGCCCTCACCAGTCCTTTCCAGGATGGCTATAGCTGGATTACCAGCCTTGAATGAGACCAGGGTCTTAAGTGGGGCCCATGGCAGCTCAGCAGGGCCCCTGGGAACTCTCTGGGGGTCTATACAGAATTGAAAACATGCATACTGAGATTCTTATGGAGAGAAGAACGACAGCATTTTTAAATTTTTCTAAGCGGTCCTAGATTCAAACAGGTTAAAGGGCATTGACTCAATTGAGAAATAAGAGAAAATCCTTGGTGCTATCAATATTCTACTGGGCTCTTCACAGTGTCATTAGTATCTCCTAATCCATGGGCCACAGATTTGGGGCTTGAATTCTTTCAGGTAAAAGTGGGAAGAAAAAAAAGTTCTATATTGTTTTTCTGGAATTCAAGCAGTAAACAACTTGTACAAATTTCATTTCAAATATAGATCCTGTCCTGCAAGGCAGTCTACCTTATGACTAGAGGGCCAGCTGCCTTCAAATCACAGGGGTTTATCTGTCAACATCTTTAAAAGTCTTTATTAAAGGTCATATATCCTCAGTAAAGTACTAAGATATTATTAAAATCCTGACACCTGAGCTGACATGTCACTGGGAAGATAGCGCTTGCCTAGGATGAACTCAGGCTGGACTCACAGGGCCTGTCAGCATGCTATGTCTGCAGACCTTTCCCCAGTAATGGCCCAAAGGATATCAAGGCGACAAATCAGTCTCCCTGTTGTTTCCTCCAAGTGCCACACTCTCTTGTATTTCTCCTTCTAGAATGTCCACTATCCCTTGTCCATCTGCCAAACTCCTATTTTTCTGTCACTCCCAAACAGAAGAATGAGTTCTTCCACATGGTGGGGTCCACTCAGGAGTCTAGTGGACATCTCCACCTCCATCTGTCTGTCTGACACTGTTTTTCCCCAGTTTATGCTGGGTGGTGGAATGCCCTTACTGCCCTGTCCTGCTCTGAGGAGGGCCACCCTATAGCCTGCTGAGAAATCAGGTTTGCTGCCTATATTCTTTCAAACTGTCGCCCTGAGGGACTTAATTTTGTTAAGCCAGTGACTAAGCTCCTATTTTCTTAGAAAGGAGGCTTAAAATAAGCAAGAAAGCGACAGCGAAGTGTTTATCTAATATTCAGAGAGAAAACTGAGAAAGCTGTCGAGGAGACTCTATCACAACTTTAGAACACCAAGTCCATACCCTAACCAGACATTTTTAAGAGGACGGGTACCTTCTGTTCACAGTGTGAGTCATCTAAAGACGGTGGATTGAATGTAGGCACACAGTTCATTTTTCCTGAAACTCTACTAAAAGACAAGGGCAAATGGGAGCTCCTCAGGGATTCACTGGCGCTGCCTGACAAGCCCTGCTACTATGTCTACAAAGCTTCCAGCAGCTTTGCCATGGCTCTCTACTTATAAATCAGTAGGTGCCAAGGAAAAAGGAGAAAAGGAAAATGAACACAAAACCAGACTAACAGAACCAAGCGGCTGGGAGTGGGAAAGGCAGACCATGGAGGAGAGATTTGAATTAACACCTGCCATGATTCTTAGGTACCTGCATCTGGCAGGTGGCTGATTTTGAGGGTACCTGCTATTTTTCCATGTGACCTATTTCTAATGCTCGCTAGTGATTAACTCTCAAGCCACCTTTATAACTCAGCTAATATCACCCGGTGACTAACGATAAAATCATTCCCAGATAAAATGGCTAAAAATGTATAGTTAAACCAAGAGCCAGGAAGGAGGAGAGGTTTTTTTAAGTTAGTGTGACAATTTACTATCTTTACCACATGACAAAGTTGCCATCACTGCTTCCATTGAATATCTCATTGTTGTACTAGAATCTGCGGATTACGTGATTAGGCAATAAGCAGAAGAGAAAGAAGTAAATCTTTCATTATCTGCAAATGAAAGACTACATCAAAGACCACAGAGAATCCACACACAAGATTAATATTATTAAGTCTGACAAGGTGTTTGGTTATAAAAATCAAAATTACAAAATCAATTGCTTTTCTAAATACCAGAAGACAGAATGTGATTTAAGGTATCAAGATGATATCAGGGGATGAGGATGGCAGAGATGGAAAGTAAGTCTGAGTCCCAGAGGGATAATTAGACACTGAGTGTAAGCCTCATGGGCAACTTGGGCAGGCATGGAGACCCACAGCATGGAGTGGCTGAGGTCCTCCCCTAAAGGTCAGTGCAAGGCACACCCTTGCCCTCTGGCTTTGGGGAGGTGAATGCCATTCTGCTTGTGGCTTATTCAGGTAACTATAAATAACTGAGCCTTCCTTCCATGGGGGCCTCATGTCCTGTCGGGAAGCTCACATGAACCACCTCCATCACTAGTGTCTCTCCTCTCCAGGGTGGTTTGGTAAAGTGGGCTGGCCCTGGGGTGAGGAGGTCTTTGTTTTCTTTTGGACAGGCAGATCACAGCTAGACTGATCCTCCCTCAGGAGATCTACTGGGTACTGCAGAACAGGAGGCAGGCCTGTGGGGGCATGCAGCTCTCAGAGATCCAAAGACAGAAGCAGCCCCTGCCTCTAAATTCCCCAGCTTCCTTTTGGGTGAGATAGCAGTGATACAAATAAACAAACAAAAATGGAATCTCCGTTCAAAAACTAGACATAAGATGTCCCTAAATTTAACGTATGTCCTGTGATTATACAAACAAGACTTTAACAGCTTAAAAACCCCTTTGGTGGCCTAATCCACTAGCAGAAGGCAGGCCTTTTACAGCCGGTCTTTCTTTGTTACACATTGTTCAAAAGATTGAAGAGATTAGCTAAGCTGAAAATCAACCCTAGCCATGACTTGCTGGGGACACAGAGGTGGGGGAAGAAGAGGCAGTAGCAGGTAGAGAATGCCAATACTACTGTGTAAACCGGAATGGGAGGGAGCCCAGAGGAACCACAAAGAAGGCTCACGCCAGTGGATGTGAGCCTCACAGAGCTCTAGAAGACCAAGGAACCAAACCACAGAAGGAAAGGACTCCAGGGACCGGGGATCCATCAGCACAGAGTACTTCATCTCTCTCAGGCCCATGGCCACTGGCCGAATGCCCTTCCTCCGCCTGCAGAGTGGAGCAGGGGCCGGTAGCTCAGATTCCCAGACGGCGCCACAGGGCTGCTACCAATGGCTATTCAGGCTCACCCTCGCGGGGACAAAGGGAGGAAAGAGCTATCTTTGCAGACTCTTAAGTATTTCACATTCCTCCTCTCTCGCCACATTGAATTTAAAATAGAATATTCCGAAACAAATAGACGAATGTCTACAAGTGAGACATGTGCGTCCAGGAAGGCAAGTGTTAAGTCTAGGACTGGCTCTCAAGCCGAGACGCACTGTCCCGTTTTAAGACGTCTATTTATTAATAGAGACTCTAGGTAGTCTGGAGTGGGTGGGGGTAGACAGAGAGCCCCAAAATCCAGACAAAAGCCTTTGGTATTAGGAGCAGATTTTCTAATCATTAAAGTCAGAGATGGGGACTGTTCCTTTGTGACAACTGAAAATATATCCCCCTCCTCCCTCCCTATAAATCCTCGATGACTGGCCTTTAGACCCTTAGGGTCTGCTTCTATAGCTGGCTGCCATGCTCTCTTTTCCTGGGACTCTAGAGTGTAGGGCATGGAGGAACCAGAACTCTAATTAGCAGTAGGCCTATTGTCCTAGCAAGGCCACCATCTGGGAAAAGAAAAGCCTGGTTCCTTCTCAGGAAGCATGTGGGTATATAGGTTTGTCCTGAGGAAAGAAGAAAAGCTAAGAAAAGCACAGCAGTCACAGAGACAAGGGGAAGTCAGATTTGTGAGTTCAAAATTGCTTAAAGGAAACTTTTAGTCTGTACTTAAGAATGCCCAGGTCTTGGTGCACGTTTTGATTCCAAGACAGCATTATCTCTAAATAAAACAGAAAAAGGACACACAATGCAGACATGGGTCTGTCTGGGGAATGGGGTGAAAGATAATGGGTTTTATTTTTCCATTCTGAATGTCTTCACTTAATTTTGATGGCTATTTGAGCTGAGTCTAGGGGTGTAGCAGGGCAGTGAACCACAGGCAGGGGTGGGGCGGGGGTGTAGAGAACATGGACATGAGCAGAGGCCATAGCCTGGAGTGGAGGCTAGTTCTGGCTGTGCTGTGGGCGTGTGGACCAGGAGTGGTGGGAGAGGGCTGGACAGGTAGGGTCTGGCCACAGCAGAGTGGGCTTCTCCAGGAAACTGGGAATCCACAAAGGCTAGGACAGCTCAGCTCAGCCACCAACTGCGCTAGAGAGGACAAGCATCACAGACCACCCGCCCCCTCCCGGGTGTGTAACTGAGTTATTTGGGCCAGGCACACGGGTCACTTAGAAATAAATCTGAAGTCTACAAATATTTATTCCCAGTCCTTTAAGATTATCTGTTTTAATTTTCTTTTCTTTTTAAACTGATAAACATTCCACGGGTTTCCGTTTGGACTGGAAGTTGCACTATAGAAACAAGGTCACTCTTCTAAGCTCCCACCCTGGCTTCTCTGAAAGGGGAAAGGAATGTTAGGGAGACAGGAAAGCAAGCCTCAAGAGAGGAGCACTCAAGACAGCCTCCCTCCTTTTCACCTTATGTTTTTTTCCTCCCCATTCACAGCTTTAGGTCCTTTGTTTGTTTAACAGACCATTACAATCGGAGGCAGTTCAATGGGGGAGGAATGTGAACTCTCTAAGTAGCTGTCCCTGCAATCCACATGTGTGGTCCCTCCCCGCCAGCCTGTCCAGGCCGCTGCTGTGTGCCTTCCGATGCTCCTGGCTGCCCAGAGGAGGCCAGGCACCTTGCTCACAATGAGTCCTAATTTCCCACAGGGCCATGCCTGCTGCTCCTTCCCAGTAGCCTACAGCAGGGTCTCAAGTAGCTCTTCCTTCCCTGCTTGCTTAGCCTCAGGTGGGGCCATCCTGCTCCCCATTCCCTTCAGCTCCTGGGAAGACACTGCCTGTGTGTTGGTCATCCTGTCTTCAGACACCTTGGGATGTCACTGGATAACACCCATCCAAGTCATCCACACGGTAAACCAAAGAAACAATTTCCAGCACTTTGCCAGTCCTTAGTTCACTATGTTTCCACACAATTGTTGATAAACATGGCCAACTAGAAACAAATTTAAAACTTGCATACCTACTGGGTGACAGGATACATCAGCCACACCTCAGGCTCAGAGTTCTCTCACAAGTCTGAAGATTCAAACCATGAAGTTCTCTCAGAAGCCTGAAGATTCAAACCTGTAAGAGACTTGCACATCTTCAGTGAATGAAGCTAGAAGAACACGCTCCCCATCACACTATAACCTGAGCTTCCATTTATGAGTGAACACACACACACCACTGAGGTGGTCTACAGAATTCCTACTGCTTTTTCATGCATTTTGGTGGGTGATCTTTACTTATATTATATCCTCTGTCCTACTTGCAACTGGATTAGAACCATGCTCAAGTTTTTCCCTGCTTTCTGCGAGTAAAACAAAGAATACTTGAAGTTGCTTACATAAAATATTCAAAACAGCACTCAGAGGAAATGGTATTTCTTTTAAACCAACAGTATTAAAATACCATAAAACAGGTATGCAAATCCACGCAGTAACAGAACCTGAAACAAATTATGAATTGAAAGAAAGTCAGCAATATCCAGTTGACACTTTCAACAAAAGCTTCATATAGACTTATAGGTTTATCAAATTTGCAGGGTACCTCCTAATGAAATAGTCCATGATTATTAAACCTGGCTGTGCATGAGAATCAGCAGGGAAGTCCTTTAGAAATACAGATTCCTAGGCCACAGGGCAAACTAGCACAGACTGAAATGGTAAAATGGGGCCCCAAGAACTTGTGTTTCTACCAGATTCTCAGAAGCCAAGTCTGTCACCTGCTTTGTACCACAACCCTGATGAGCATTTGGAAACCAGTCTCTCTGCTCCAATTAATTATAAAATTTGACTTCTTCCTACTAAGACTATTCCAACCAGTAGATCCTCTTAGGGGGAAAGCTGCTCGGGTTCTCTTAAATTGTACAAAAGTAAATTTATTATGAAAAAAAGCCAATTAGCTCACCTAAGTGATTTATTCACTTGGATGCTTGCTTTAATTTTATTTTTTTAAAAAAGGGCTATGACCATTTATTTTGCAAAAGAACAGTGCTTTAAGTTGAAAATGAGAAATATATATATATGGCCTTGTCAGACAACTAACATTTAAAAATGACCCAGCAAAGTTCAGGATAAAACTGGAGGTGACCAGGTTACTTGAATCACCCGGGGAGTCTGTTTGGAAGTTATTCTTTGTTTTGCATGTACAAAAGCTTCACAAATCAACTGCATGGTTCACCTGTTGTCTCAAAATGCTCAACATCTACCATTGTGGTTTAATTAGGTGGTCCCTAAACATTTGTATCTTTTTTTTCAAGAGCTTTAAAACACTGAAGCAAAAGAAATCTTCTAGATGATTCTTTGCGTCTGCCCAGCTCACAAGTGGACAATACCAATTTATGTATTCAGAGAGGCCGGACTCCCTTCGGCTTCCCAGGAAAGGGCTCGCTGAACGTGAGGTAAGCAAACCAGGCAGTAGAGTAGCTTAGCTTCATTGTCAAAATATTCAAATTATCACAAAAAAGAAAGCAATTCCTTTCTGAACTCAACAATACTCCTTGGCCTCTGAGGGCTCACACAGGAGCTTATTCTCAGGGCTGTTCAGTGGGAGCAGCACTAGTGAAAGAGGAGAGCCCTAGCAGGGAGGAGATCAAGTCCTTCAGCCTCTCCCACCTGCCCTCTCAGCATGTCTGACGTGTACCTACTAACAATGCAACGGAGACCCTCAACAGGCCTGGCCTGGGGCATCATCCTGTGCAACGTAGGACAATTTAACACGGCAAAGACATAGTCAAGAAAAAAACACCTCGGTTGGACAGGATGCCACTTACGGACTCTTCAGTTAGGATTTGGATTTCAAAAGCAGAGAAAAAGGTTTTCAAATGTCAACTTTTTTTTTTTAAGTGTGTAGTAAAAATGACGCTATAAGAATCAAATAATTCTAAAGGTCGATGGCTCCAGGGTAGCCAGAAATATCACATTTTTCCTAGCAAAGAAATCTTCTCCTGGTAAATAGATTTGCTAATTGTTTTAAATGAATGATTTTTTGTGTGTGTGTGGTGAAGGGAAGCCATTCATTAACAAAAACAAAAGTTGCATGACTCTAGAGTGTATGATTTCTAGAGTCCATTTTTGCCACACAATATGTTTTTCTGGGCGCCTGCTTCAGAACACGCTTCTCCTCAGTTAATGAACTAGCTTAGCTGCCTGCTGAGCACTCCCTGAAACCCCTGAAATGAACAAAAGGATTTCTTCCAGTTTCAGCTCATTCACATCCAGCTCTTCCTGGTTTTATTACTTAAGTTAATTCTTCAAGCTGACTTTATTTCCAGTGATTTGAGAGGGACAGAAACGGGCAACCCCTGACACTGGGAAGTCTTTCCTGGTTTTCAACAAGAGAGTCCTTTAGACTGTAGACGTGCCAGGTTTGTTTTTGAAGTCTCTCGGAAATGTCTTATTTTTGAAAGACTTTTACTGCAGAAGGAAAGGAGCCCATGGGATTTGGTAGATCATAGACAATGACATCTTACTGCGGCCAGATGGATCATGGTGAACAATGAGATTCTATCTTTGAACCGGAGACCCTAAGTGGGATATGCACATTCTCCTCCAAACAATGACCACAGAGGGGCATGTTGTTAAAGGAACACATGGAATTTAAACAGATTTGCGGGCCTGGCACCTGGCCCCCTACCCTCTCACTTATGGACACTCCCTGGGAATTCTCATGCACAGCTCAAAGTTTTAACTACTTCTTGAGGTCAGAGGCCTCCCAAATTTCCATCTTCAATCCTCAGCTTTCTTTCAAATTCCAGACAAAGGCACCCACTGAACCTCTCATTGTAGATACCTCCCTGTGCCCCATGCCCCTCACAGTCACCCCCCCCCCAGCACCACTGTGTATCTTAGCCATGATTAGTAGATGCTCATGAGATGGTGGCCATGTTTTAAGTGGGCAGTGTTAGCCTATTTTATTTTTTTAAATAAGAAACCTAAGGCCTAGAAGTTGTGCTAATTTGCCTGGTCCTGTGCTAATTTGAAAGTCAATCCCTTCACAGTAACTTCCCAGCCTCTACAAAGTCAGAAACTCTGGAGTCACATTAGATTTTTCTCCCTGATTAAGCTGTACAGGAGTCTGTGAACTTGTTGTCTCTCGAATCTGTTTCCTCCTCTTACTTGCCGTAGTGACCTACCCTTGGGCAGAGTTTTCTGCCTTTATTACCGCCTCCAAACAGCACGGCAATACAACTTGGGAATTTTACTTTTTGTCGATCTAAAAATTTCCCTTTCTTGCTTAAAACAGGTGGCAGATTTGTCACCCCTTGTATTTTGGCTCAGCTGAAGGCAGGGGCAGCCTCAAGAAGTCTTTGTTAATATCTAAATCCAGTGAGGAAATTCTGCAGGACTGCTGGGAGTGGAGGGCAGGGTGGATAAGAGGGTGAAAAAAGAGACACTGTCCCCTCCACTCCCCATCCCCCACCCTGGGCCTGGAAAGGAAAAGGATCTGTCAGCCCCCAGCAAGGAGGGGGGGGTCTTGCCCTGTTGTTTCCTAAGGCAGCGACAGAGTCCTTGAGGACAGCTGTGTGGGAGAGCACTCAAGCTCCAGGAGGTTCCCAGCCGCCACTCCTGGCACTGAGGAGGACAGCTGCAAGGCTTCAAGACACGGCTAATGTGATATATGGAAGGTCAGAGGCTAGCTCCTCACCTTCTAGGCGCCATGGGAATCCCTAGGTTCAAGGGCATAAACTATGTGAGAAGAGGCACCTGAAACTCACCCAGATGAAATTCTCCAGGTTGGCAGAATAGGGGAGGGAGTTCAAATGGAGATTGTTAATGGGGAATAATCTCAAAGACTTTCTGGGTTGAGATACAGATTGGTGGGTGCCTCAACAGGGTGCTAAGAATCTTACTTAGAATCACGCCTACCCACGAGATTGACTAGCTACAACTGCTGGAACTGGAGCCCATCTAGTGTTTTTGTTTGTTTGAAAAAGGCCACAGAGAAGGAAGGGTTCTGAAGGTGCTGGTGATTGCGGGGGTGCGGGGGGGGCAGTCCTGTGTTTGACAATCCTAGGTCTATAAAGAAAGGAAGGAAGGGCAGATGTTAGAAGATACTCACAAGAGTAACGCCTCTGATTCCTAGACAAATACCTAGAAAGGGAGAGGCAAAGTTATCTTTAAGGCCTTCATCTTATGCTCTGAACTGCTAAAAGCAAACAAATCGGGAAACACATACATACAGAGGATAAAAAAGTGAAGTCTATTTGGAAAAAGATCCAGAGCTAGGGGAGTCTTGAGACCCAGACATCCCTGTTTCCTAAGCCTGGACATCCTTCCCTGGCTAATATGCTGGGACAGGGAGCTGATTTCCATAAGATGGAAATGATGGCCTGCAGGAAACCAGGGTGTTCTGGGGGAGGGGAGGCTCTCTCCCTAAGAGAAAGGATATAAATCCTGTGACAAAATGTGATAATTCAAAGAGGCTACAGAAATGATAGGTCCTGGAGGCGCCAATGATTCGGACAGGGGCAGTGTTCAGACCCTGAGGTCAGTGGCATTTTCTAAGCAAATTCCACTTCAGTCTGTGGCTGAACATCTGAGACTATCAGAAGAGGTTTATAAAGGCCCAATGAAGACCGAGGGTTTTAAATAAGACACTTCGGCCATAACGTAGAAAGAACTATTAGTATGGACTGCTCTGGCCAGAAGAACTTCGTACAGGCAAGCTTAAGCAATTAGGGAGCCCCATTTTCCTGCCAAATGGGCACATCACTAATCCTGAAGGCCAGGCAGGGTATAGGGCACATCCAGAGGGAAGATGACCTGGAAGAGGAGGATTCCGTGGGGAAAAAGTGCCCATCATAGAGCAGAGTTTGTCAAAATGGTCCCTGGAGTTTGAAGCACAAAGCCCCATGTATCTGCTTTAGTTCCAAGGACGGTGGGCATGTTGTATTAAAACATATCCCTAAAAAGATCACACAGATAGGGAACATGAAAGCTAAGGGTGTTGGGCAAGCAGGTAGAGGACTGGCAAACCAAAACAAGCCAAGACTGGGGGCGTGGGGGCGCTCAGGTTTCATAAGGGTCTAGCCTCTGCTGGCTCTTTTCCCTGTCTCACCAGACTAGTAAGACCCAAAGGAGAGACAAAGATGGTTGGTGAGCGGTGAGCACACACATTCCTATCCCAAACTCCTCCACCCAACGAGGACAGCTCTCTGTAGAAGACTACTTTTCAAATCTGTGGTGCCCAAAAATGTGGGGAGATTGCAAGGGGGAGGGATACTGGAGAAAGGAGGACAGTCTACTCTGGAGGCCCAAACTTGTGTGTGACTTCCTTTAAATATAGCAGCCTGGTAAATAAGGAGCCTGGAGTCAGGTCAGTGGAAGGGGCTGTTTCGGCATGCAGACTGAAGACTGACATCCATACTTATTCCCCAGGCTGTTTTTGGACGGGGGCTCTCCTTCATTCTAATCACAAAGCTGCTGTCAGAGTGATTCTTCTAACATGCAAATATGTTCCTGTCACTTGCCTGTTTGGAATTCTTTAATGTTCCCATTAGTTTCTGTCAACTGCAACCCAGAGACCTGTCTAATCAGAACCATCGAAAGTTCTTTAAGCAGGACAGCAGTAAGTTAAGGCCTATGTTATAGATGGAGACTTCAGACAGCACACACAGACTATTCTCCTGGATTTATCAGTTAAATACATTAAAATGGATACACTATAATCCTCATGGCAAAACAAAACAACAACAACAAAAAACTACTAACAACAAAATTGTGAACAAAAAAGAATAAAAAGCTGTAACTGAACTTGGGTTTCTCTATAAAACTGTTCTCAGAAAGTTTGAAATCCTCCCTAAGTCAGAACTCGCAAACTCATACACAAGAGTTGATTGGATGAGGCAAATAAGAACCATTTTAGGGAAACAACGTAAAATGACTGTGATCCTAATGTGGTCTCAGTTTACACGGGGAGTGTTTGTTTTATGAACCTTTTTAATTTCTGCTGAAACAAAAAGGAAAAATATTACCTTGGTACATGCTACATAGTGGATCAATTTATTCTCCAAATAAAGTACTCTTTGTTATAGCATAGACATGCATACTCGTTAGCACTAACTTGAAGATAGATGAAGAATGTGCTTTATTGGCTAATTTTTAATAATATTAAACATTCTTCTCTATTATGATCCCAACTGTTTTTCTCTTTACTTTTTATTTGTCTATTTGCTCATAGAGAAGGGAAGAAGTTTTAATATTCCTTAGATAATAACATTCCTTACCTAAAAAGTGATAAAATGATAAAATGATAAAATTTTACTCTACTTCTTCCACTGTGTGGGAAGCACATTCTACTAATACCAGGTTGTGCTTTTAGAATTAAAGGACTAACCACATTCCAGTATTCTAGGTGCAACCTCAGAAGGACACTGTGGTACAGGGGGAAAAACTGAGTTTGAAAGATGCTCTGCTACTTGGAAGGTGTGTGACCTCAGCCAAGTGGACTTCCTAAGCCCAAGTCTCCTTTGACATAAAATGGGGACATTGATCTATCTTGCAGAGCTGTTGCAAGAGTATGTTATATGTGTACACAGAGTGGCACAATGACAAGCACAGAGTCCAAAGTAGATGTACAAAGCAGATGTGGCCTGTGAATAAGTGTCAGAAGTGATTCTACACAGCAGGTGAGCTCACAATTACAAACAACTTATTTTGGACACAATGTACTTAACAGTAAGCAGAGCATAAGTGATGGACTCAATCATCTTTCTTTAATGTGGATCACCACTCCATGGCCACACATGCTTGAAAAGAACTTTGTATTATTATCTCTGCATTTCTAGATTTCGTTAAATTTTTCCTTCAGAAGAATGTGTTGGTGGGGAAGTGGACCCGTTCGAATCATCTGGAGAGCAGGGTATGAATTTAAATGAGAACAACTAATACTCTCCTCAGCCTTCCACATGAGGTGCTTGTGGGCCCTTCTGGAAGTTAGCCTCAAGATCATACAATAAAGGGGGAAGTGGTTCATCTAGTGAGAGTTTTGCAGGGGAAATAGAATGGAAGATAGATTATAAGAAAACTTACATAGAAGACTGGGATTATAAAATATGGCCTCAGTCAGGGACATTTTGCAAAAAAAAAAAAAAAAAACACATATGGAAAGAGGCCAAGAGTTATGGTTGAGCAATAGCACAAAAGCTGCAAAACAAGGGAAGGGAAGGGTGAAAGGGGCTTGAGGGGGAATGAGCTGGACGTAGAACTGATACATGTTATGGGGGAAAACCACAAAAATGATGGATAGGACATTTAAAGCTAGAATTAGGGATCATTATCTTGAAATGAGCGATTAAAACAAGTCAATCTCCACATGAATGTGGAAAATAAGAAATAAAAACTTGTACTGTATGATGGGGACTCTGCCAACCATGAATTCCTTCAAATAAACACCTGAACTACCTACTTCACAACTTCAGTAAGTTTGGATAGAAGATATGCAAATTGAGAATCAACCCACATTATGACTTTGGGAGAATGATTTAGAGACTTTGAATTATGTGTTACATATCTGGTATAGAATTCTAAATGAAGGATAACACCCTAATTTGTTCCTAGTGTTTGTACTGTGCAAAAACAAACAAAAAATACATGTACATGAGCACACGCACACACACACACACATAAGAGAGGAGGATCACAAAGTTTCTAATAAGCAAATCATGATACCTTACAAATCAACTGTACAATACCCATTATTTCTAACATATTGTGAATAAATAGCAATGGTGTTTTTATCATGTTCTCTTGGTTTTTAAAGATAGGGTTTCATAAGTTCCTAATCTTATCACACAATCCAT